TGCGATTCCTGAAGCTGACTGGACAGACCACAGGAATGCACCCTTGATTCAGCACATTGTCCACATGTTTAGGGCTGTGACTGTGGCACCCATGCAGTCCGTCCATATCCTGTCCAAGCTCTGAATATCCCGGCCAAATTACAACCATTATCTGCATCACTCCCAAGCTGATTGTCTCCATGTCAGGTGGCTAACCAAACACGGAACACAATTTAAATCAAATAGACCATTATCAAAAGAACATCTGTGACTCATTAGCTTCATCCAAAATTACATTGGTCCGTCTCCAAAATTACACATTCATTTAATGATAGTGGGAAGTGTTACGGCCTTCATTCCACACATTTAATTTAATGCCTCCTGGCTGTGTGACCTGCATTGATCTTCCATTTAATTAAGCAGCTCGTCTGAATTATGGACCAATTCTGAGGAAGTGAAGTAAAACCAGGTTTGATTAAAAAGATAGCAATAATTGACTCCACTTAATTTTGTTTAGAATTCAAAGTCGTGCTGTTATTAAAGAAAATGGAGCGAGATGTTGAATATCTAAACTTCAATGTAATCTACAAAAAGCCCCCTCATTTCAGAGAACCTTTATCTGGGGCCACCTCAAACTGTACACAGCCAAAGTCATTCCTTTCCACGTGTAGATCAATAACGTTCAGTTCCCATTCTCTACCACCGAACAGACTACAACATAAAGACTGCAGTAGGCTCCGTGTAGTCATTGCCAGTTACATAAAGAGGATTAGGGCTGTGATTACTCAAAGAAAGAATTAATTTCAGAGGTAATTTTCATCACAGCCAATAGCAAAAAATAGTAGTCAAGAAGGCAGATAACAGATATTGTGAATAGTAACTTGACTGTAAATGAGAGAATGTTTTATAACATTTTGACACCAACAAAGTCCAACACTTGCCTGAAGCATATTTTTAATAATAATTTTTAACGACCTGCTCAAGGGGATAAGGCTCGCACCATCAGTACTTTCTTTCAAATCAATTCTTAAAACCCACTTTTACCAACCAGCCTTCCCATAACTGCTTTAAACTCTACTTTTCCACATTGTTTATGTCTTGTCTTTCTTTTGGATATCTTTTATTATTATGACTGTTTTATTGACGTTATGCTTAGTGCTGCGTTTTGATTAGGGGTTGACAAGACTGTTTTGAAAATAGATATGATTATAAATGGAAAAGCTCCCACTGTATAGACTGGATGTTTAAACGGTAATAGCAAACCAACCAGATATTGTGGTGCTGGTGGTGGACCAAGGACAGAGGAAAGCTGTAGTGGATTATGCTGTGGCAATTCAAAGTGATGATAACATTAGAAAGAGCACGAGAAGATTGAGAAATATCAAACGCTCATAGAGGAGCATGTGAGGGCCTGGAAGTAAAGCCCCGAACTCAGCAAAGATACTGCCCAGAACCCTGAGGCTCCCTGGACCATAGAGGTAAAGGGTGAGAACGTGATCGTATACAAGATATAAATCAAAGATGATTCAGTCTGGGGTTTGGGTAAAATATGCAAGTCAAAATTCATGGCAGCACTTTGTCAAATAATAATTTTAGTACTCATGATTTAAATGATCAATAACGTAATATGACAATTGACAAACGATAGCTTATGTTTCATGCTGCTTCTTCTCGACGTTTGTTGATAAAGACAATAAAACAAGTGTTTTATAACTTTGTCTGTGCCATAACTGACCATGTTGAGACTACATTATGTGAATTTATCTCTCTGTCAAGTCCTATATGGAGACTCCATATAGAATCACACACTCACTTCCTCCTGGTGCAGCTCAGATCATTGCCCCTGTGGGCTCTGTATCGTGTGCTCGGTCAGACACTTCTTCAGGGGCAAGAGGGCAGTGATGAAAGGCAGCTAAAAACACTCTCCATTATCATCCATTACAAGCCATTAGTTTCCCCGCTGCACTCTGACTGAAACAGTCCTGTTTTATTGATGGAAAATAAACCCGCAGAAAAAGGGGGCGTGCAATCAATGGCCCAATAGCGCTGCGCTGAATACTAATGAGGAAGAGACTAAAATAAAGCAGTCTACAACGACACAGGTTAATCAGCAACACAAAGCTGGCAGCAGTTTTATTTTCCTTTCAGGCCTTCTCTGCTGTTACAGACATAGTAAACGGTCTGTCTCGCATTACCCACAGTGCATTGCTGTGCTGCTGTGTTCTGGTGCTCTCTGGCTCTGTCCGTGTGGTAAAAACAGGGGAGGCGTCATCAGCAAAAACAAACAAATGATGTTTACTTTTGTACTCAACAAATAGTTTGTGGAATTAAATGTCACCCAAAGCAATCGCACAATTGCCATTTAAGTGAAATTTTACTTGTAATGATTAAATTACCTTGTTGAAAAACACACAATACGCCTTAAAGCCATAACAAAAGGTAATGTGTGAAATAATATTATAGTTTAAACCAAACTCCAAACCACTATACGACCAAAGACGGGCTCTGATAAACCTTTCCTCTCACAATCAAACATGCAACATTAATAAAACAGCCGGATGGTAAATGAACCATTAGCTTTTCATTTTCAGCACAAATATTGTCCCCATGTAGCTCTAATCAAACTAACAAAATTACAGAGGATCATATTTGGTAATTGAAAAACAGTTTAGTTCAATTCATAACAGATGGGAGAGGAAAGTTCCAGCTGCAAAAAATAATAGATTCTGACAGTGAAACAAACATGTTCTCACTAAATTCTAGCTATATTTATTACAAATCTTCAAATGCAATATTCAAAAACCACCAAGATCACGAGAAAATTGTGGCTAGATTTACATGATGCATGCCAAGGTAAACAACATATGGACACAGCATGTGGTAGGACAATGTAAAGCTACTGCAGAACTCAATGTAATGAAATGAAAAGCCCAGATACAAAGAGATAATGGCATATTGAAATGTAGTATAAAGTTCACCAGCAAGAAAAACAGCACAAAACATGTCGAGTGCTTGTTTTAGACGCTGTATATGAAAAGGTGTATCCCAGACTCAACACATGTGATGTCCAGTACATTGCGTTAACAAACAGCTGTTCACCATCAGCTGGCCTAATTTATCTAAAGCGAAGCATTCCTTTTTCTCCTCAACTTTTGGCCAAGGCAAATCCTGATTCGATTCTGAATTTTCCCCATAACGGGACAAAAATTGTGCCCTTTAAAACGTTTGGGAGCCAATGGGTTCTAGTAAAACACATACTGATAAAATGTATGTATTGTATATGACTTTATATATGTTTCTTTTAGGGATGTAAAAAACTATGAATTTTCATGACCGACCACCGAGCCTCATTAACCGGTTGAAACCGGTTAACCGCGTAGTTTAAAATAGTCCACGTTCTTTGAAATAAAAGCCATTTCGAGCCGCGTACTTTTCATAAGTGCAGCTCTGCGTTCTACTGGATCAGAGCTGAGACAGCGGCGCCCAAACCCGCAACAGCTCCGGCACCTTTGCGCACAGAGAACTGCTTTTTTAATCTTCCCATTCTGCTGTGCTGCGGGTTAATACCAAAACTTTCTAGCAGCAAACGACGGCTCGTTCACATGGTCAGAGCAGCGAGTGACGAGCCGCGTCTCACAGGTCTTCACAAAAGTTTAAATACAAGTGATGTGTGTGGAGCTGATCCCGAGGACCATAAACACAAACATGTTCCATGTGGTTTGACTGGAGCCGCGTATTTGCGCGAATCCTTTGGGCTCCGTGACACAGAGGAGCGCGACAGACCGGTATGTGTGTGTGTGTAAATGTAAGCTCAAATGTAGTTCTGACCCGCGCCAGTGTGCAACTTTGACGGTAACAGAGGGGAGAGAGGATGCGTGTGTGTGTGTGTGTGTGTGTGTGTGTGTGTGTGTGTGTGTGTGTGTGTGTGTGTGTGTGTGTGTGTGTGTGTGTGTGTGTGTGTGTGTGTGTGTGTGTGTGTGTGTGTGTGTGTGTGTGTGTGTGTGTGTGTGTGTGTGTGTGTGTGTGTGTGCGCGTGCGTGCATATGTGGCTCGTGCGGCGTGAGAGTCGTCCCGGAATTTATAATACATGGGCGCACACAGCTAGATATGGACCCGCTCGTCACACCGTGCAAATAGGGCTTAAAATAGCGTTATTAAGAGACCTCCCCTCTCCCCTTTTTCTCTTTTTTAACCGACAGCTTTGACCGGTTAACGCTGTGACGGTCAACCACCGGTTAAACGGTCGCCGATTTACATCCCTAGTTTCTTTACAGTACATTTGGAACTAAAGTGAAAATGAAGATGTGAAGACTGGAATATCTCCTGCTGGTCACTATCCCACCTGCCATACCTGAATCCTCTCTCTACTACACACTTATGCCTGAGCTCATCAAAATCACCCTCATGGCTGCATTTAATAATAATAACAACCAAAGACAATATGACATCGGCTCAGCTTCCTAGGTCTCTATTCAATTTTATGCGTCACTCATATCTGCAAAATTTATGACAAAACAACATTTAAATTTTCCAAATTACAATATAACATTGTCTAAACACGTAATAACAATATATCCAATCATAACTCATTAAACATCATTCCAATGCATCCCTTCTCTCGAGTCTTCTAGTGTCTGTTATAAAAGGTATATGGCCATGTTTTTTATAATGCAAGATATTAGAAAATAATGAATAATTATGTCAGAATGTCAATTTTGTCGCCTTTAGCAGGTTGTGTTTAGTGCTAACCAAGTATCACTTACTCCATTTTAGCAGACATCAGCCTTAGATATAAAAACCCTGCTCAAGCTTCCATTAATTATTCGGCATCGTGAAATAAATCTTTCAAATCATAAAATCACAGTTTTCTCCAGTAAAGCATATATCAGCCCTACATTAGTTTCAATTATCAATGACAGAACCACTTAGGAAGACACCAACCAAACACAAAGCCATGATGTCTCCCAGGGGACCAGTCAAAACAGCAGTCACATTAGGGCTCTACACAATGGTGGGATCGGTCAGTGGTGGTCAGGCCGGTTTGGGCTGGTTCGGTCCACTATGGTGTGGACCGGGTCACTTCCTTTGCCTGTTGTGAGTTTGGGGGGATGTTGCTGATCTCCACACAAAGCGCAGCGGACCCAGTGCGCTGCCAGGGGGAAGATTACACTGAAAACAGCAGTGGTGCAGACAGACATCACTACTGCCACTCACACCCACTCAGTATTAGGCCAAACCCACGCACACAGAAACACATAATGAAAGTGATGGAGCGGTCATTAGCACAAACAAAACATACATATATAAGAGGAAATCCTAGTTGATTAAAAAACAAGGACTGTAATTAAATATTTAGATTAGTTTGTTTTACCTGGAGCTGTATCTGATTGGCACAAACAATATTCTAAAAGGTTTGGCAATAATAAATGACTAGAAATGGAACATATTGAATAATAATAATAAATCAAAATTGTATAGTGCTTTTTTTGGACACTCAAAGATGCTTCATATGGGGAATAAAATAAAAAAAGGGGGTCTATGGAAAAGCTTGATTGAACAGACGGGCTTTGAGTACTGATTTAAAGTTTTGTGTTTACTGTAATCTGCAACTATTAATTTAGTATATTAATCCATAGATTACCCAATTACAGAAATGAAATCTACAGCCCTAAACAGATCAACTGATTACTAAACTTGTTGACCATTTCAATACTGGAGTAGTTGCAAGTAACTGATGGTTACAGCCCTATTGTAATGACTTCACATTTATGATATGGACAGATATAATTGCTGACTAGCCCAATGACTTAACCCTGAGCAGGTGTACACAGAATACCTCCAAAAGATATCCGGTTCACAATCTTAAATTGTACAAGAAATAAACTTTTTGAACCGTAATAATAATAATAAATAATAATATTAACTGTGACTAGATGCATTAAACTCCCAACTTGTTACCCCAACATTCTCCTTCATACTGATAAAATCTCCCCTTTTCAATTTTGAAAACTAGAGACAGAACCTAACACTTTTGAGAGCAAGAAACTAGTTAGATGGATTAGATACTTATGTTTATGTAGCTCCTGAACCTGAAATTAACAATGGTAATGAAAAAAACCTTGATAATAGTGAATTTATTGTTATTGTTGTTTAATATATATTAAAAAATGGCAAAAAAGTTGATGCCACTTAAATAAATTTATAAGTAGGGCTGGGAAAGTGGAAAAATATTGATCAAGCTCTGAGGTTGATTACAGTTGAGGTTAGGGTTTCTTTAGAGAGAATTTGGATCAAAGCTCCTTCACGGGCAGTACACGTTTTTTTGTCTTACGTTTTTCTTTTACATAATATTTAATGCAAACATTCTGAAAAGTGAATCTAGAGCGGTAAAGGTCTGTCCGAGACTCAGTTCCTGCTCCTAAACTCTTGTGCAACACCTCGTCAAATTAAACCGGAGTTTACATGATGTTTGTGTTTTTAAATTCCTGCGGTTATAAAAGTTCTTTCAGCGCATATCAAGTGTGAAGTTGACAATTGACGCGCTGTGATTGATGTCTTGCTTGAAAACTAAATTAACAACAATTAATGAACTGCCAAACCACAGTAAATAAACTTTGTCTTATGGTCTTTGGTACAGATGCAAACAAAAAAGAAAATTGGCACATTTACTGTAAGAGAGTTACTTATTTTGACAGAGACTGTAACTTAACAACAAACTACATACAAATAAGACAAAATATGTAAGTTGGCAAAGTTTATGATAAAATTAGCAAATCCATTGGAAATAACTATTTAAGCACATATAGAAGGACCTTCAATCTCCATATAAGATAGTTATTTTGACTGTATGGATAGTAGGGCATCGCTGTAAGCAGCTGTGTCTATTAATTTTGGTGCAGAGAAGACTGCTGGTGAAGTTCACTAAAGGTTGGTATCCCGTGATCTCGTAAATCACACATTAAAAAGTGCTGAATGTTCAGTGTCAATGTTGAATTTCCGTCCCGACTCCCTTAACAAGTGATGACGCTATCCAATCAAAAAATTCAAATCATGAAGACGGCATTTTTGTATAAAGTATGTATCAATGTATTTTTGTATATTTTTAAGTCTTCTATTAGTTCGAGAGTTTCCTGATTAAAAAAAACCAGACCCTGAAGTCTTTCCGCCAATGATTTAACAAATATACACACATATGTAAACTATCATAACAATCCAAGAGCTCTTTGGTCGCACACAGTTAAGGTAATGCAAACATTAACAAAGACATTCTAACCACAGGTCGAGAAAGTCAAATATACATCACACCACAGCAAACATGTCAGCGTGTGTTTCCGTTATAAACATATAGAGGGAAACGTAATGTGTGCTTCCTAAACAAACGGGTGCTTTCACTGCTTTGATTTGGCCTGTGATTTATTGAGACAGCGGGGTCGTCCCACACATTCAGTGGGAGATTTGTTGACACGAGCCTGGAAAGAGGGCAAACGCATTGAACAGCTAACACTAATACAGCAACAATATGGCAACATGCCCCGGGCCATTAAACTGTGGTCTATAGGCTGCCAAACTGATTTAATTACTTGACAGACACAACATGTTCAGGTCTGATTAGGGATTTATGTGCCTAAATCCAATAATTGACTAAGTTTAAGCTTTTATACAAACTGCCAAAAGCAAAAATTCCAGAATAAGTTAATTGTTTAATGTAGTACTGTAATATAGTAGTCAATAAATTTAGTAATTGATCAAACATGGCTTTAATCTTATAGATTTATTCTGAGAAGAGGATTTATGACTTAGATTATTCTAGAATGTAAAGACAACTTCATTTTATTCTGCAAAGTGTTTTTGTACAACCCAAGTCATCTATGGAGACGTCCCTGGAGACATCACTTGAGCTTTGGTCAAATGTATAAAATTACTATATCTCATGTGCGTTTCAGGATATTCACAAATAAAATTGATAAAATAATTGACCAACTAATTAATCAAAAACTGGTTAATTACAGCTGGAAATGTTTTTACATATAGACAAAGAAACACTTAACCGTTTCCAATGCATCTGGCTGCACATTTTACATAAGCAACAAACAACTTACCATTACAAACCAGTAATTCATAGTCAAAAATCAGACCTCATTAATAAATGTAATAACTGTGATTAATAAATAGCAAGAATAAATACATTAGATCTATATCCATGCATAACTCTGTCTAAACATGGATGAAAAGACTGACTATGGAAGTGGCCTCTCGGAGCCGGCTGAAATATTTCTGAATGTACGTCAAGAGCATTTTTAAAGACATAACTCATTCCTCATTTGTTCTTTTAACACACTTTACTCTGCTTACATGAATGATGTAACTAATTAGTGCATGCAGCTTTAACTTCCTACAAGAACGCTTCTTTCCAAATATGACATTTGAGGCATGTAAAGTATGCTGAAAAACGAACTGCTGAACTCTGAATAAACAGTAGGCAAGAATTCAGTCAAAGCTGCTTATCTTTAGCAACATGTCAATTTCCAGAAAGGTGATTTAAAGTTGGTGCTTACCACAAATCTTTCTAAGACTCAAATTCCTAGTTGCTCAAAACTTGTGTGACTCGGGGCGATCATGATGAAAGGCTGAGGAACAGCTCTTACCAAATCAATAAGCTTTTAGAGAGAGGAGAGGAAGGCTGCTGCTGCGCTATACTATTGTTAACGAGTAAAGACACATGGCTTACTCCACTTAACAGAACATAGTTTCTTAACATCTAGTAAACATGCGAGACAACACTTCTTGTAAATGTCGATGATGAAGCAAAGCTAAAGAGAGTTTGAAAAAACGGCTAATCACTGCAGAGTATTGATGAGGGGAGGATACGTCATCCTCAGGCCTTTACCGTTTCTTCATCACATACCAACATCAGCATCTCACTTCAACGTGATAAGAAAGTTAGGAAAAAAAGGCTTTGGCTTATGGTTTTTTACACTGCAGCATCACTATTAGGAGTCTCCTTAGTTATCAAATTATGGTAATTCTCAAAGAGTTCACCTAGGTCTGAAATAATTAAGAAGCCCAATAAATAGGACTACAGTAAATATCGAATATGGTAATTTGGTTCAAATTACCCAGCAGATAATTTATCATATCAATTAAACAAAAAGGCATGACCTGTAAGTCACTAACAAAACTAAAGTTTAAATTGCACATCATTGTAAAGTAATACTAGAGTTTGAATTACTCATAGAAGTCTCATGTTGAAAGAATTCCATAACAGCAGTTATCATTCTAAATCACCATTATAAAATCTGAATGAGTCACTCTATTTTTTAAGTGTGGCCAAAAGTTAAGTTCTTACCCTTCATCTTCTCCATCGATGGTCTTGGTGGTGGACGTTAAGGCACTAGCAGTAGCATTGCCCTCAGCCTCTTGTCCCGCAGCAGTTCCGCTCCCGGCCTCTGCCCCCGGACCCTTGGGCAGCCCCAGCAAAGCTGACTGGTGCTGGAGGAGAAGTCTTTGTGCGTCCTGGAGCTGGGTGGTGGTGAAGGAGGGCAAACTGGCGTAAAGGGCACTGGCTTGAGCAGCGTGGGCCTGGGCGATGCTGGAGTCGTGGCTGAGTCTCCCCCCTGCGCTCCCAGGCAGGGCAGAGGTTTGGAGATCACTCTTATGAGGAGGTGCAGTTGTGGCGGAAAGCAGGCCGATGCTCTGGTTCTGGATTTGTGTTAGAAGAGACTGTGGCTTCTGCTGCGGACCGTCCAGGTGAGACAGTCCAGCCATATGAGCCACAGCAGAGGCCTGGAGGGTAGTAGGCTGAGAAGCTCCCACCACATTTGATAGAGACTGAGTGAAATCAGGCCTTGTCTGCCCTGGGGCAGGCTGCTGTGGTACAGGGTAGCTGACGTTCTGTGTTTGGACAGTGACAGGCCCAGTGGGCTGACCTGACACAGCCTGTGCGTATGTGAGCTGCTGAGACTGAAGACTGCTCAAAGAAGCAGGGAGCTGGGCCACAGTGGTCTTCACCTGTTCATACAAGTGGTTCACGGCACCAGGGGCCATGGTTTGAAACCCCTGAGGAGAGCTATAGTCCTGGACATGCTGTGTAGACTCACTACTGCACACACTGTCAGCGTAATGGCTTAAAGTGCTCACACTACTGCTAACTGAACTGCCACTGGTGGTCTCACGCTCTGAAGGGGCAGCGAAGCTCTCGCTCACATACTGACGGGCAGAAACTGTGCTGCTGTCAGAGGCAGAAGAGCTGGGTGCAGAAGCAGGGGTCTCCTTATCGTAAAACTCTGTACAAGTCCATCTTCCCTTCTTAAAGGGCTCTGAGCTGGAGTCCAGCTTCACCACTCTAAAGCGAGAGCTCGTGGTGGCTGTGGCAGGGTGGGCAGGGCCCGATTGTTGGGGTGCAGAAGTGTGAGGGGCACCGGCTGAAGGTAAAGCAGCTGCTCTGACTCCCGTCCCCCCTGAGGCACTAGTTGCAGCAGCAGAACTCAAAGGAGTCATAGTTATGTTTTGGTTGGTTTGTTGCTGAATATTGGTGGCATTAGTATTTGTTGTAAGGTTAGTTCCACTACTGCTTATCACATTGAGAGGAAAACCAGAAGTGCTACTGCTAGCACTTGAGCTAATACCCCCTCTCACAGGCACATTGGCAGAGCTCAACATATTCACATTACTAACACTGTTGCTCTGGGGATTAACTATGCTAACTGTAGTGCCCACAGCAGAGCTCTGCATTCCAGCCACACTTCCTGAGGCCATGACCCCAACACCTGGAGGGGCAGCCTGGGAAACACTCTCCTGAGGGGCCCCCATGTTTGAAGGCATTTTTAGGGTGACGTTGGGTAATGCTCCAGCAGATGGGGGATTCCCGACGTAGGCCTGGGCTTGGTTAGGGTGGTGATGATGGTGATGGTGGTGATGATGGTGGTGTACAGTCCCATTTACCATGGCTCCACTGTGTGTTCCAGCCTGCAGAATAGAGTGTGGATGAGCTGGCTGGTTTGGAGATACAGCTCCTGGGGTCTCTGCTTCATGAAAGTTATTGAGAGTCTCCTCTGAGGAGCTCCTCTCAGCTCCAACTACATCATTTGCCCGGGAAAGAGACACGTCTAGGATCTCAGAGGAGGACAGGTCCTCCGTGTGAGACTCATCCAAGTCGTCATAACTTTCTGTATCTTCAGCAATGCTGTTATTCGTACTCACGGAGGTCTGGGCTGGGGTCACACTTGTTATCTGAAAACCACTCTTCTTCTTGGTCTGAGCCCCAGAGGCCTGGGCGGCCAGGTTTAGGCTATGGGGAGGAGGGTGATGAGGACCCGGGGAGGAAGAGCCTGCAGGCGGCTGAATCAACAGGGCGGGCTGAAACTCCTCCACTGTTCCGTGGCTGATGTTGACTGCAGAGTTTGCCGGAGGAGACAGTACTGAGCTCCCGCTGCCCGTGTTACTCCCTCTCCGGTGGAAGACGGCCTGATGCGCCATCTTCCTGCCGCTGGCCGAGTCTGCGGGCTCCGGATGATGCATTTGGAGAGGGTCCGGGGGGCGCTCGCTCTCTGACAGTATGCACTAAACTTACACTTCGTTGAGGGCGCCGTTTTGACACAACTATGTTTCAACAGCACAAGCAAAAATAAAGTATCTGAAGAAGAGTGGAGACTGTTGTGATTATTCAGCCAAAGTTGTGTTAATTTCAGCCTCCCATGCGCAGCCCTGTTGTCCGCTAGCTCCAGAGGCGACAGAGGCTAGTGCTGAGCAGCTAAAGCTAAAGTCAGCTGATGCCTGGGAAGTTTCCCGGTGTTATCCGATTAAATCGATTCAATCTAGAGCTGACATGTTGGTGGTATCATAAAAAAGGAGACTTGTTAAATCCCTCCGTGGTGTACGAAGGAGGTGCTGTTGAAGTCAGCGCTGATGTAGGTGCTAGCCGGACAGAGGAGTCACCGGCTAGCAGCTAAACTCTCTGTTTTCACTGAGGATGTGCTCAAAGATTACAAAACCAAAACGATCCACCTTCAGTCCAGTGCAGGCTTCCATTAAACACCCAAAGGCCTTTTAGCGCCGTCGTGAAAACGCTTTAATCCATCGCAGAGAGAGCGGGTGTAGGGGTTTTGCTGTCTCACTGGTCCTCAGGAGCTGCTCCTTTAGGTGCTGTGTCTGTGACGGGTTCAGGAGGAGGAGGCTGTAACATGGCGACCGCGCATGGTCCGTGAGCCAGACATAAAGCAGTCTGATCCGAGCCGAGCCGAGTCCACACTCCGGAAAGAGCCGGAGAATGCCGAAGGGCGGCGCTCCCACCCAGACTGCACAACACGTCAAGCATAATATTAAAACTGTGTAAAACGCTTGTTTTTGTATGTAAGCAAATATGGCGCATTCACAGAAATCGACGTTGTTCTGTGACGTGAGAATCACCGGTGTTTGTGTTGATGGTGGTTTTCAACCTGCTATCCATACATAATATCTGTTAAACTTTTTACTGTAACTTTTAACATATTTGTCACACATTTGATCATATTTGACACTTTATTCTTACACTGAATCTTATCAGATGTTGAAGTTCTATACAAGCCAAAAATGAAGCCTTTCAAATATTCTCAGTTAACTCATATTTTCATGCATTCTGTCTCCTGATCATAAACCACAACAGTAGCTGTCAGTGTGTTTGTGCAGAGCAGCACAGTGGGATGCTAGATCTCTCTGCAGACAGGATGAAACCAGCGAAGGATTTTTCTACACAGTCACAGTTTGGGGCCCCTGGCCCATGTACACATCACCTGTACTGTTATGTTGACACTAACGGTCAATGAACTCTGTTGCTATTCAAAATGTAACTAATTTTTTTTACTGTAAAGAACATTGGGTAATACTGTATGAATTGTGCTTTAGAAATTGCTCTGATTCATTTATTTGCAGTGGTGTAGAACATACATCAATTGCTTTTTTATATTTCACATATTGCATGTTATAGAGTAATATACTGTAGGTAGTGTAATAGAGTGTAATCATACATGGAAATATAGCTTTTATGCACACTCTCCTACTTACTAGTTACATACTTCCATCCACTAGTTAAAGTAGTTTTGTCTACATATAACATTCCAAACTTAAAAAAATACAAATTTTGATACCACCATGGTATATCAATAAAGGCTCTTTTTGAACAATTTGAACAATCCACTGAATTTTTTAACTCAAATAGGTAATATTTTCTACAGGAAACCCAAGTTTTAATGCGTTCATCTGAATTTAAAGTTTAAATTGTATCAAAACATTCCCAGGAAGTGCTACATTTGTCCTGTTTATGCACTATTTGTAGTTTCTAAACTGGTCTTAGTATTGATTAATATCTGATTTTCTATACAAGTCAAGTTTGAAGTCACCAATATGAACACTTTTAAGACTGTCTATGTAGACGTTACCTGAAAATCTGGCAAACCTTGCAGTTGTAAAGTGAAGGAAGTGCAAATGTATTGAATCTCAGAATAGCAACAGCAGGAGGAGCTGTATCGCTCACCGTGCTGAGGATGAAGCAGATGCAGTGTAAGCGTCTCACACGTCAGCAGATGTAACTCACACCATCCCTGACACAGCCTCGAATAAATTATTTCAAATAATTAAGTTACAAAGAAGAAATATGCTAGAAGATAAGATACGATCAGATAGACCTTTATTTGTCCCAGTGTCATTGTTGCACACATTACTGCAGAATAAAAGGAGGAAATAAGAGCAATCAGGTTGCACACATGAAACAGATCATTCTATAATAATAGATAATTAAATAATGAGGTAAAAAACATATTTTACAGATATTCATTACGTACTTTAGCAGCAGAGAATATAACTAAAATAAACAATAAACAACATTGTTGTTGTTAAAATATATTTACTGAATAGTGACTTACAGTAGGCTGCTGATATTGAAAATAAAAGTATTATAAAACACAACTGTTGAAACAAATCACAAAGAAACAAATCTTTATCTCTGCCTCTGATCGTGCACTTTCTGCTGTGCCAGACTGTAGTAGAAATGTGATTACAGCCTATAGCATTGCTATATTGAATTAAATATAACCCCATTGGCCCCTATAGTACATTGAAAATATCCAGATATCCAGGAAAAATGACACCATACAATATTGTTGATGGTGCCCAAAGGCACATGGAACAGCTGTATCTCAGATTTCAACTGCCGCAGTGTTTGACACCGCAGGGCATGTTGTTGATGAAACAGACTGTTACGTGACAAACATATGGGTTTATGGGTGAGAAATAATATGTCATTTTAGTACTATATTGTAATTATGCCACTATATAGATGGACTCAAAATATTGGAATTTGGAACCAAGACAATACACGTCAGGGATTAAAGAGGGACCTTTTAAACACTCTTTGCAAAACAGGGTTTTTAATTCTACAATGTCACCTTTATGAGATTGATTAAGTTTTGGTTCAATTATACAATTTGTTTACTGAAATGCTAATCGTGATGTCTTAAAAACAACATCGCCAATTGTTGAAAAAAATCCTGCAGCTTTGCCCAGTGATGCGGCACAGTCTGTCCAGGGATTGTGTCTACTGCGATGGCTGTATTTATATTGGCCAGACCCCCTCCTGATAGAAACAACACAGGCTGTGATACTACTGAAATGTTGTGGCCAACCGCGCTCATTCATGAGGATTGCTTACATTTTTAACTGCTATCTATCAAAGGCAACATGATAAATTTAGCAATTTTTTTGAAGGCGCAATTAAAATAATATGTCATGTTTAATAACTGCAGTAACATAAGGATTGTCATATATGGTTTACATTTACTTTAATCATCCTTTTAATAACAAGTGAATATTACCTTTTGCCTGTAACCTTTAAAATCTGAGTTTTTTGTTTATATTGAAAAGGGGTTTCAAGCACAAACCTTTGGAATATGATGTTTTTGGATGTGAGTGAAGAATGAAATGACTGAAGTGACTGAGTGTGTTGAGTAATTTCCTTACAAATAATTGATGAATTTAGAAATTTGAGTTCTAAGATCATATTGTCTAGTGTTGCAGAAAAAAAAGACAAAAAAAAGTGCTCATTTTCCAGTAGCCTCCACTTTTTCCACTAGCGCAGAGACATGCAGTCAGCACAATGAATTAATCACATTGTAATCTTATAGGCACATTGTTCACTGGTCAGTGAAAGTGAAACATGAGATCTTAACAGAGTGGTAATATTAAAAAATGAGGGAGAGGTTAGAGGAGGCTTCACGGATTAAACCTGTGAGATTACGAGATGTTGTGATGGAAAATAATATATTTCTCGTTTTAGAAACTCAGAAAGCAACAATAAGCACCAACACCTCACGCCTTCTTCCAGTAGTGGTTATAGTGCCCCCGCCTGGTGAGAATTTGTCAATGATTAGGGGATTAAACAGTCTAAGGACCAAACAGGCCATCATCTTTCAACTTTAAACACCAGTATGTCTTTGATAGTTCACAAGAATATCCGACATGGTCTTAGATTAACGGTAAAAGTTTTGTGCTGATTATAATTTATTTATTCATCATAATAGCAAATTATATGGAGTTTACAAAGTGTAAGTCAAACCACAAAAGCTATGGAACAAATACATGCTTATGTTTGACTTTGGCTACAGTGGGAAGTTGTAGAGTAATAAGAGTGCCATGAAGTCCTGTAATCGGTAACGAGAAGGATATAAACTAATAGATTTAACTAAACAATGTGTTATTGTGAAATCTACCCAATACCCCTTTAAGATGTTTTCTAAACTTGCAACTGCAGATTGTCTGTGTTTTAGCCTACAGCCAACACAAGCATTTGGAACAATTTAGCTCTTTTCCGTCTGGCTTCCTGCTTTAAACTGCTCTGAGACTGGAGCTGCCATGGAAACAGTCCTTCAGCTCTGCGCAGCCTCTCACTGTGGTACACAATGAACAATAGGGATTATATGGTTTGTCAGGCAGTATTGTCAAACTGTGTCATGTCCTTCTTTCATTACAGGTTACAGTGGTCAAGTGGGAAATAAGTGGACAATTATAGCAATGTTTCAAGGCCTGTCTTATACTTTGTCTTGTATCTGTGGCTGTTGGGGTCCATACTTGCGCACACACACACCTCATTAAAATGAAAGACTGAATGAAGGTTATAGAATGGTAGATGCAATATTTTGTATTTTACAATTTATTTTATTTTTTTATCAACACTTACCCCTATGTACAATTCCTATGGGGTCATAAAAGGGAAAAGGGAGACTAAAATGAAATGTATTTATATGGGATAAAAGCCAAAGACCTAATGGGTACCCAATATGCATAACGAAACGACTGGACCCATCCCAAATAGCAGCCTAGTTCAACCAGTGTGCCTTGAGATATTGTTTGGTGTGGCTTAGAAAATGATTCAATAAACACTTGATAACCATAGCATTTGTATGAGAATGACACTGCATTGTTGATAAAGGCTGCAGAGTTTCAGATTGTGGTGAGAAGTGCGATGTTTGTCAGTGAAACAATGCCCTATAATACAATGTACAAGAAGCCCAACCATTTGTAAATCACAAAATCAAGTGGTTTTCACAGGTCCATGCTTTGTAATCAATAACTGGCATCAAGAGATTGTTGTTAGCTGATTCTAACAACAAGGATCAATCAATAGCATTATAATTAAACTATAGGATACTCCCATGGGTACCTATGAGTCAGATAAACACACAAATAAACTCAACAGACCTTTAATCAAAGTTCAAAATGTGTTTATGAGAGCTCTTCTTTGCCCTAAATTTTGGATAACCTTGAAGGAAATGGCAAAATGCCCTCACCAACCAGAGCCAAGTTCATATTACCCACGATGAAAGGGGAATTTCGAGTCTTTCAACCCGTCCGGTGCTGATTACAAACTTGGAGTGGATTTCAAATGCTCTGTAAAACTCAAAGATTGTATGGTGTGAAGAGGATGTCCTGGCTTACGTTACATTACAGATAAGGAGCCGGGAAAGAAGGCTGACCACATGACAGGGGCTTTGTGCATGTAGACAATTCTGTAGTCGCTGCTGAGTTCAAACCACTGGACACCACATAAGGCAGGTTGTAGAAAGCATTGATTTGCACTGCAGGCCGCTAAACATTTCCATTGATAGGCTCAGTTTTCTATGGCCCTGAGTGTGAAAAAACAATGTAATATAATCATACTGAATAATACTGCGCTTACTGATATGATCTTATTTGATGTGGCTCAGAGGAAACTGCTGCATTAAAGATGGCCTTGTTCAAGTCAATAATGCTAGAAATTGTTCATTTAAACTGGCTGATTATTTTAATAATAAACTACGTGTTTTCTATTTCAGTTTATTTAATTATTTAAACTGTTTGACAATTCAGAAATTTCAGACACTTGAAATATGAAATACTTAGAATATGTGTTTTCATAAATAGCATAAAACGACATTATCCTCCTGAGACCCTGCGACCTCATACGAGGACATTACATTTTTGCCTCTTGGCACAATGATACTCAATTTTTTACATCCTTGACCTGATGGCCACATTTAGGGACACTGCCCGCGCCATCTTGTGGTGATATGATAGAATTACACTTAAGGCAGTAGGAAAGAAATGGCGGGAATATCAGCAAAACACTTCTACAAGAGTTTACAGAAGAAAAATGCCCCAGGTAAAAATTCTATCAACATTTTATGAATGAAATCAATTTATTTATGCACAATAATGTCTCTAGCTTCATATGGAGTTTGAAATTTGAAAAATTTTGATTGTAGTAGCAGGCTAGGATGTCAGTAAAAGTGAAGCACTCGTTTGAGGACGCTAGGACTATGTACCGCTATCTGTTTAGCTAACCGTGTGGAAGATTTAGATGAAGTTACAGTTGTAAATAGTTATTTTGAATCACACATTTGCTCAGTTATGTGGTTTACAGTTGTAAATAGTATATTTAAGTACTAAGTGGTATATGCTAAGTATTGTGAAGTGTTGCTAAATGCTTAATCATAAACATTATAGCTAGGCTATAGCTAGCACATGATAGCCAAGCTATGATGTGTCACTGATATACTGTAGATTTTGATGTTGGTTTTTAAAATTATCATTACAGGCACACTTTCATTATCAAGAGCAGAACAATTGCTGTTGGCAATTGCAGACAACTCTGAGAAGTCCTCTATGACTTCTCAGATGGGGATGATTGCATCATCATCTCATACTTGTCAGTCAGCTTCTGGAGTTTCCCGCGGGGAGAGGCGGCGAGCTGAGGTGGCCATACTCATTGCCCCCCATCTCAGCCGCCACGTGTTGGAGTTCTCCCCGGTGAATGAGAGGGTCGCGTCCCTCCGCCTCCGGGTGGGGGACAAGTCTCTCATTGTTGTGACGGCCTATGGGCCTAACGGCAGTGCCGAGTACCGGCCTTCTTGGAGTCCTTGGGAGGGGTACTGGTCAGTGCACCGCCCGGGGACTCTGTTATTCTCCTGGGGGACTTCAACGCCCATGTGGGAAATGCCAGTGACACTTGGAGAGGGGTGATCGGGAAGAACGGCCCCCCTGATCTGAACCCAAGCGGTGTTCAGTTGTTGGACTTCTGTGCCAGTCACGGTCTGTCCATCACGAACACCATGTTCGAGCACAAGGGTGTCCACCAGTGCACGTGGCACCAGGACACCCTAGACCGGAGGTCAATGATCGACTTTGTTGTCGTATCATCTGACCTTCGACCGCTTGTCTCGGACACTCGGGTGAAGAGAGGGGCGGAGCTGTCAACCGATCATCACCTGGTCGTGAGTTGGATCCGCTGGCAGGGGAGGAAGCCGGTCAGACCTGGCAGACCCAAGCGTGTAGTGAGGGTCTGCTGGGAACGTCTCGCTGAGCCCCCTGTCAGACGGACTTTCAACTTACACCTCCGGGAGAGCTTCTCCCAGGACCCAGAGGAGGGGGACATTGAGTCCGAGTGGACCATGTTCTCTTCCTCTATCGCCAATAAAGCGGCTCGTAGCTGTGGTTGCAAGGTCTCTGGTGCTGGTCCCCGAACCCGGTGGTGGACACCGGCAGTAAGGGATGCCGTCAGGCTGAAGAAGGAGTCCTATCGAGCAATGATGGTTCGTGGGACTCCTGAGGCAGCTGTCCAGTACCTGCAGGCCAAGCGTGCCGCGGCCCGGGCTGTTGCAGAGGCAAAAACCCGGGACTGGGAGGACTTCGGAGAGTCCATGGAGCATGACTATCGGTCGGCCTCAAAAAGGTTCTGGCAAACCCTCCGGCGCCTCAGGAGGGGGAAGCAGTTCTTTGCCAACACCGTGTATGGTGCAGATGGAGAGCTGCTGACCTCGACTGGGGATATTGTAACCCTAACCCTAACCCGGAGATGGTAGCCTTGAAAAACCCCATGCGTTGCAGAGCACAAGACTGCATTGGAAAATCCTGTGTCCGATGCATGACATGCAATGTGTACCTGTGCTTGCAAAGTGAACGCAACTGCTTTGCAGCATTTCACACTTGCCAATAGGGCTCTTCCAAACAGGCAGATTGCTTTCTAGAAAAAGAGAGGGAGCTAGTTTGAAAAAAGCCCCGGTTCAAAAGCTGTTCAGCAGAATTTTACTCTTTTAGGACTGTTAATAATATTTGCCATTATTTGTTCTAGTATTGTATTTATCAATTCAATTCAGCCATATTGAAGGCTTGAAATAGACAGTTTACACAGTATTTTGCAGTTTTATTTATGTATAGCCAATTTTTTGTCATGTGGATGAATGAAGAACAAGGGAACCCAAATTGCAGGACTGAAAATCAAAGTAATTTAATAAAATAAATCCAAGGTAATGTAAAAACAGAACTGAAGCCAGGACAAACGTGGTGGAGACAATGGACGGACAACAAGAGAGGAAGGGCACAGGGTATATATACACACACAGGGACACACAGGTGAATCACATTAGGGCGGGGCAACAATCAACAGGACAGGCAGGATTCAAACTCAACCAGGTCAAAATGTCCACACCATGACATTTTTAGGCTTTGAAGATAGAGCTGTTTGGATTTTATGTCTAACTTTGATGTTTACATTTTTCAAATAAACTGTTATATACTATTTTAGACCAATGGAGTCTATTTGTATTGTATAGTAAGGTCGACCCACTGTACTCATATGAGGACATTGATTTTTGAGAGAAGTACTAATTGGATCAAGCTGAAATTTTGAATTTCAACTAATTAGGACCTTCCGGCCTCAAAGAGCATACATTTTTTCTTTAGGTTATGAGAGACCCACTGTCCTCATACGAGGACATGTTTTTTCTCAAAAACTACTTCCTGTACAAAATCACAATTTAGGTATTATACTTATTGGGTCCTACTTATCCTAAATAGCAAAAAAATATATAAAATGCACACCAGACAAATGCTCGGGTCTCAGGAGGTTAAATCTATCAGACGTGAAAGAATATATGATTGACAAAAATATTTTCATGAGTAAAATGTATGACCACAAGATGGCGACAGACACTTAAAGCGTGAGCGATAGTTTGTTGTATAACTACTGTTTATAAAAGACAGTATTGTATTCTCCTCCAAAGTCATATGTAAATAACGACTTGTATTTTACTTCACAACATAAACAGACTTCCAAATTCCAGGGATCTAATTACAAAGATCATTGAATGTTTTAATTAGAGGCTTCAGTTGTCTGTGCTGCAGACATTTTCGCACAGAATCTTTTGATTTTTGTAAATGATCCGGGAGTCAAATCTCTTTGCACATTTTATTTCCTGAAAAAAATGAGCGTGATAGTCTCAGTCATGTCATGTCAAATCATGGACGCACTGAACTACTAAAATCACTGAGAATTACGATTATACTTAGATTATTTGAGGTTAATTGAGAGAAAATTGTATGCCAGCTAGGACTATGGTAATATAAATGTGTTATGAAAGCAAGGCATTTATCTGAATGAACATGATTCTTCTGTGGGCTAATTTAATACTTGGTGACTCATAACCTTCTGTTATAACTCTCTCCAAGTTTCAAGGTTGAGAATACATTGTGGGGAAGATAATGGCATTCCAACACTTTTTGTTATTGATGAGTTAGTCACAATGAGCTTATGTTTCATACATAACTAAATATTTCATAGGCGTTTAAGCATCAACATAATCCTTTTTGAAGTGGTACATCACTTGCATGATTAAAAAAGGTTATACTGTATTATAGATGAGCCAAACTGTGAAGGATTATAGGAAATTAACATTTGCTTTATCGAAAAAGTAGAGGAGCCCCCCGCTTCAGCACAAGTATGCGTATAGGCTTGATATGCATGTCTGCTCATTGTACTTTTAGTGAGACAATGTTCAAAAATGAATTAACCCCAGTAGGTTTATTGAAATACAATCACATTTAATAGCCTACTTAATAATAGATATACAGTATTAAGCAGCATATAATGGAGAGAAATTCACGCTGATACTGCAAATCTGGGAAATATGTCTGTTATGTCTTAGCCAAAAAGTTGGATTATATAACATCTATTTACACACTACTATCAATTATTGTATTGTGTATTTCTTGAAGTATTGCGCACATAAGGTGATAAGGTAGTTTAAGCTAATGCTAGTTGTCTATACATAGTTCCCACATGACGTCACTACATACGGGGATTTGCCGACCCGGCGCCATTTGTGTTGGCATGCTGTGGGCAAAACAATAGAAAAAGAAGCTGAAACGTGTTAATGTCGTGATAAAGTTGAAAATGGTCATCTCCTGCTGGGTCAATGGATGTTCAAATCGTGCCGGAGGTTCCGTTAAACTTGGATTTTACAGTATACCCATCATTAGACTTCATGAATGTGAGAAGACTAAGCTTTTGTCAGAACAACCACGGAGGTTATGGCTTGCGAAGATAAACAGGCAAGAAACTCCCTCAAAACACGCAAGAATATGCTCGGAGCACTTTGTGTCAGGTGCGTATCGTATCTTATAATGTGTTGACAGACGTAATTTACTCAGTACTAACTTGTGTATGCTGATAGCTGGTAACTTGAGAGTTTCATTATTTAGCGTTAGATTACTTTATTATGAGGAGGATCGGTGTCGCGTCCGAGGCTCTCGAGGGCAACGTAAATGTATTAAATAGATAATAATAGTTCTATGGTGGGCTAAAACAATGTTCACAAACAGCATTGCTTCTGTAAAAAGATCTGTGTCATAAAATAAACTGCTCTTTACGCCTGGAAAAATCAGTTGCCCACCATTCACCAAAACATACGGTCAAAAACGCGGAAATAAACAATAACAGCAATCCAGAGTGTCCGTGTGGCATTAGCATTAATTAAATTAATTGTTAATATAATTAAAATAATTAAATGGAGCTCCAACTGGTATTAAATCTAAAGTTTTTGAGAAATGTTTGCATTGCTTGTTAATTTTTGCTGCATAATTTGATCAAATATGTAAAACATGTCCGTAGCACGTTAAACTGTGGTGCAATTGTATTAATATACAATTATTTGCTAAAAAGTTGCCCTTTTTTTCCAATTTGCGTTTGAATATCTACATTTATTCTCATTCTTCTGTTTAATGGAATGCACAAACACAGCAGCGTGCCATCAAAGATGGCGTCTCCGAGGAGGTCATGTGACATTCATTGGTCTGTGGGAACTATACTATAATAACGTGGTAGGTATGTTCTTGCCTGGCCTGCCAGACACTCCTCCTTTCTGTTCAAAAGAAGAACCGTCTGGACACCTCTTCCTAGCCTATCATTTCACGATTTTACCCACATCGGTCCAATCACGCACCGAGAGGCGGGACTTCCTTTCACCTAGAGGCGGAAGCAAACAACGGAATTGAGTTGCTAATAACTCCTCGTATCTTTAAGTTTTTGTTACAAAATCGACAGCAGTCGTTTACATTTGCACTAGCTGACATGCCGCCATCCCTTGTTTTGTGTTTGTATATGTCTTTGAAAAAGCATATCGTTTGGCAGGCCAGGCAAGGTATGTTCATTAGTATTTGACTTGTTTAGTGAAAAGTGCATTTAAAACACACACATACACAAAATATAATTTGTCATTTCTGTGATTGACTCAATAGGGTATGTTGAATTTACACAAATCCTCTGTTCTCTCGGCTATTTAACTGTTAATCGCTGCTTTCAATCAATAGTACTTTATTTTGAAAGTTGCAGGTAGTCCAATTGTTAGCACTTCCGACTCCGAGTAGACCCTTCACAAGCATCAAAACTTAACCGAACGCTGACATTATTAAGTCTAACTATGTCAGATAAACGGGAAGTTAATTTAACCGGTGTCAAAGAGAACAAAAACGTGTGGCTTGTAAAGGTTTGTAAATGTTTATAATTGTAGCTAACGGCTCAATCGACGACCGCGCCTGCACCTGTCCTGTCTCCTGCTGCGCTAACGGTAGCTGCTAGCGTGAATGCTATGAACTCAACCGTTAATGAACTTAACCGTTAGTTACCAACCGCTGCTCGGGTAACGTCCGTGGAAAATTTTGATTACGTGTGGACATTGTACAGTTTATGTAACGTTTTATATTAGAGTCCACAAACGTATTTTCTCTTTTCAATGCAGTTTAATTTTGAGATGAGACACTTAAACGTCCCATATTACGCTTAATGACTTTTCTCTGGCTTATACATGATTACAGTGCTATTTGGCGTCATACACATGTCCAGAGTAATTTTTTCTTGGATACTCTCAAACTGTAGTTAGACAGCCATCTTTCTCTTTCATTCTCAAGAGGCACAGAAACGAGCTGTTTCAAATTGTGACGTGCACCAATGCGTGACGTCAAAAGCCCGCCTCCAATTGACAGCGGGGAGAAACTGAACCAGCCTGCCTCCAGCCCAGTGTGTTTTCCATAGACTGTAAATAAGCGTCTGTGCTTTTTTTGTGTTAGCTTCATGTCAACTTGGAGAAAATGTGTTGTTGGTGTAAATATGTGACGAGAGTATTTGGCCCAAAAGCATAGAATGGGGATCGGCCTTGTAGATGAGTCTGAAATCCGCGACGAAACTCGCAGATGTTTCTTTGCGAGTTATGGTGGCACCCAAAGACTGTTCCAGAACTACGGTTATCCTGAAACGGGACCTACTCAAAAGCTGATCTGGAAACCTGGTGTTATTTCCAACATAAAAGACGCTAACAGGAGTACTCACAGACCGAGGGTCTGTGAGTACAATGCAACTAACTTGCCATATGTCACTGTAAACTAAATAATTAGGGCCTGATTCTGGATTGAGGACATAAGGCTCGATGTGACGGGTTGCCATTGTTGGAAAAAGTTTATTCTCAGGTGTGAAATGACTAACAGCAAAAGCTGTACAATTTAGCTCTTGTTTACCTCAGAACTTGGTGTGATACTACACCACCGTGCAGGCGGGGGGAGGCGGGCTCACAGGCAGAGGAGCACAGATCCAAGTGTTTCACATGAGCTGACATCACCTCTATGCACGAAATGGCTATACTTTGACATGCTTTGAGTGTTGTATGGTGTATCACCCAAATTATTATTACAAATGTGCATAGGATGGACTGTGAAAAGCGAAATATGGTACCTTTTAAATAGGAACCTTGGATGCCATCAATAGGTGAGTAAGTAAACTGTATTTGATCAGTATCCCATTTACAAGGAGCATAATGGGAGAAAGTTGCTTCTCCTAGTTTCAGCCAAACATGAGGACCGTTGAAAAAGAAAACTGCTCGTTGGATCACAGGAGTAACAGAATCCGGTCCTGTCTCTGATTGGCTGGAATTCTTTAATTTTACAAGACATGATGTAGACAGTTATTATGAAACGAAGTTAAGGTATACTTTTGTCCCAACATTTGCATCTATCCTCACAGAGTGGAGGATTATGTATGGTAAATATACCCGGATACGGGGGAAACATGCAAATCCCACAGGCACAGGATCAAATGTGCTACTTTCTTTGCAGCATGAGCACTACCCACTCAGCCATTGCACCACCAAAATTGCCATACATTCAAAACATGTATTTATTCTTATTTATATTATTGTTCTTTACAGGTGCCAAAGTACTTGTCTCTCCAATGGGACAAAGCCCCAGAAAAGGGAGACGTTGGAAAAATTACCATCAAAAAGTAATTATTTTTATTATAATCCCACAAAAAACCATGAATAATGTATTTTTCATATTTTGCGTTCCTTCCAATTTTGCCAGGAAGCAAGGGAAATCCGAGGTAAGATTGTCAGACTGCTTTATCTGCACATAAAACGTTAATGTTAAACATTCATGGGGCACATATCCGATTGAAATGGTGCATTTAGGTTCACTGGGGGGTGCTAAGCTGGCTAGATTTATCTCAAATTCCAAAGACATAAATGCATTTATTCCAGTGATCTGGAAATTATATTGTTGTGGATGTGGATGCTAACTGTTCATTAACAGTAGTCATTGCTCACCCTAGTTGGAAAAAGCAAGACAAAATCAATTGCTCAATAATAATTTCCCATCATTACACAGACCTGTCAATACACCATTAAGCCCACTGTAAATACTGTATCATTATTGATCATGTGTGTATTTCCTAGGTTAGCTTCAAACTGAATGCAGACTTAACTGGGCTGGACGAGCTGGGAGAGAAGGATGCTGCCCTCCGCATTCCCAGGGATCACCCATTCACCATGCACAATGTGGGCGGACAGACCCTTGCTGTCTTCAGCCAGAGTGAAAAAGGTACAAGATGAGCGGCAGGTTGCAGGTTTGATTATGTAAAAGGAGTGCTCTAGGAAAGCTGTTGTGGATAGTACAGACCAGAGGAGTGCTGGGCCAAACCACAGGGCAGCTTTTAATATCATGTGTAGGCTGTTTGTTATCTTGGGTCATCTATAGGAAGTTTATGTGTATGCGGATGGAGCGGATTGCAATAGATGTAAACGGAATTCTTTGCAAACAAGTATTTTCTTTATTTATCTATCACATTTGCAACCACAGCAGCTGCCCAAAGTGCTTCACATGCACGGAGGTTATACAAATAAAAATAAAAAATGCAGCATTAAATACATGCAAAACATAAAAGTTAGATAATTCAGTTTGTCTGAAGCCAAGGCATACAAATGGGTCTTTTGGGTAATGAAAAACCAAGATTAAAATGGGAATTGAGTTTTTGTCCTGGACTATTGTCTTCCTCACAAAACTAACAATTTCACTAGTATTTGTTGTTTTCCGATCCGTTTTTATCTCTGGTCCATCTTTATGTTGGACTGTTTTTGGCCTCCATGGATGAGTAAGGTAAGGGAAGGTACAATTAGTCTCTTTCAAACTGATAGAAATTATGTATTTTTCCTATCATTTCTCATTCCGCTCTGTGTTTTGGTTCCCGTTGCCCAGATACTTTGGCAGTAAATGAATCAAGTGTTTTTGAACACAACCAACTGTCCTCACCAGAGATTTCATACTCTCCATTTTTCAGCACCGAAATTAGTTAACACAAATCCCATTGAATAGTTACGGCATGCAACATTCTCTGACTATCTTTCTTTCCAGTTTGTCCTGCATGAAAAATGATGTATTATGATTACATTGATTGCGATAGAATTCATGAGTATTGAGCAGTCCCTGAGATTCTGATTTATGGAGGCCGCTGGCTGCCAGGCGTAATGTGTCATAGCGCGTTTGGAGCCAAGGGGATTAGCATCAGATCCAGAGCGTACATTAAAAATAACTTGTGCCTTGGAAGCAAGAGATTTTTGTTACATGCTTCTATCAGACTGAAAATAAAACAAACTGTTTTCAAGGGGTAGTCCAAGATACGCTTTCATAGCTATTAGAAAAGACATGTGCCAAGATTTTTTGTGTGGATTTAAGCAAACACAATAATTACTTGTTTATTTTAGCATTAACCTTTTAGCATTAGCATTACCCTTTTGTTAAACGCTTGATCGTTCAAAGGGGCAATATATTACCCTAAATACATTATTTTTATTCTGTCAACAACCTGTAGCATTCGGCTGATATTTGTTTATTTTTTATTTTTTCACTTTTGAATAGCAAAAACAACAGCAGTGCAGTCATATGCTGGTTTAAATGAATTCTACTGGAATGTACTATTACTATTACCACTGTTTTAATTTATTCTTAAACATTTTCAGAAAGAATAATTCATTCTTTGGAGCAGAAAAAGAACATTTGTTATTTACACTCAACTCTTTTGGCTTTATGGTTTTTTTCTCTTAAGCTCATGATGTCAAATGATCTATTGAACAAACATGAAGACCCATCATCTTAATCACCCTTTTAACTGGAAGATGCAGGATGTCTTTACCATTACCTTAAAGCCATTAATCTATGGATATTTGGGCAGCTAGTTTATTTTATCTTTATGATTTAGATATTCTTTACAGCTACAGTACTTGCCTTCAGGTGTTTCATTGTGATGGGCCAAACTCCATAAAATACTATATGCTTCCACTGACTCAACGGATACAAATTTAACGATTCATAATTTTTTTCTCCTCCAATGCGTATAACTGTCGGCAATTACTTTATATCTTACTTGGACTGACTATTAATTAGTGAAAAAGGCTCCCAGATACAATTTTAGTATATTTTTTGTAGCACTAGCACTCCTGTAATGAAACAACTGCTTTTGTTTTTCTCAGCTGCTGCCCATGAGTGCTCTTACAAGGTGTTGGCACATAAATAGAAATATGAGCACAACACAATATTCAAAATGTCCCCAAGGCTTTCAGTGTGGTGCAAGTTCAACACAATACATGAAAAGTATTTTTGCAGTAAGTTGTATTGCGATCACATCACCATGTTATTTTCGATCCAATGACCATTTGCCAATTTCAACTAGACCTTTTTAGGCTTTTGTGAATTATAATGAAAATGTGTTTCGGGAAAGGAACCGGAACTTGCAAATATCTAATCACATTATGCTGGTGGAAAAGGAAATATGTGTCATTCACGCACTGGCTTCATTGATATATGGACATTACCCACATGGAACAGTCTTCTAGGATCAACAATGCATCATTCAACACAAGTGGCTTATGGACACAACCAAATGAAAATCTCAGATTCAGTTTATTTGCCATTTGCAGTAAAAACACCACATTGGAATACATTAGCAAAAAGTCTCCAGTGCGCACAAAGAAATACAGACATAAAACTACATTAAAAGACAGAAATAAAACAAATAAAACGGTAAACAACACTGCGCATGGAATATCCGGTTGGGGGTAGAAGAGGGGATTAAAAAAGGGGGATACAACACTTTTATGCATTCTGTAAATTGTTTAGATTTCCAGTTATTCTTAATAGTAAAAGTAATTATAAAAATCACATTATGCTGTAACCAGACGTGACAAGTTATGATTTGAAAATTTCCTCATCAGGCAGCTGAGGAGGGAAAGGTGCAGATAGAATTAAGCATGGAAATTGGATTTGTCTTTGCAGCAGAGGATGTTCCGTCACAAGGGAAACATTGTACATACTTGTTCTGTACTCTGCTTCACTTTCCCCTCAGCTACAGTCAATACTTACTTAATTAGCTTTATTATTGCAGATATTATATTTTCCACGCAAACACAGCGAGTTCTGGGACTTGTAAAGTTTCACTGGAAAACATGGATCTAAAGGTGGTCTGCTATTTCAAGCAGACCAGCAGAGAGCTCGAGTTTTTATTGCCAAATTGTTCTAATGACATCAATTCAAACAGTGACTGTGCATTGTGACTGGAAAGGCCTTTTAGTGGGTAAAGGAGAATGGAAACATTCATAATATGGCCTAAGCATTTAATATGCCTTTTATTGTTGTGGATAAAAATTGTGGATAGGGTTGGCTTTGGTATTATTTTGATCTTGATTTCTATTGCGCTGTGAAGTCCCGCCCACTTCAGAGCACCGCTCTCTGCTCTCACATTAACATCTCTCAAACTGGTAGCACAAAACTAATCAGCTATGTGGTACTGGTGATGAATACCCACTGTTTTGTTTTTTTTGGACCCCAAATATTATAATACATAACTAAAATTAGAAAAAGTGCTTTGAAATTTGTATTGTGGCACAAAAAAAAGATTATTATTCAACTGATGTGAATATTTGCCCCAAAACAAAAATACATAAATTGGTGCCGACTCCTGCAATTGACCTCTGAAGCGATGCAGTTTCAAATGCTAGGTGCCACAGTGGGGCGGCTGTAAAGTGCCAAACTGTTCTGCTCATAGGCAAGACACTCCATCCACATAGTTTCAGTCTGGTGTGTGCATAAATGGTACATACTGGTTTCCTCGCTTCTGTCAGTCTGTCTGGAGTGAAGGAATAATGTCTTGTTATTGCCGTTGATTTTATATAGCGCGTTGAGTGTCAGAAAAAAAAAAACCTCTTATAATAATGTATTGGTTTTATATAAAGTTTTTCATAGAAAATTATGTTTACTTCTGGTACAGTGACATGGGAAGTCGATTCGTAGCTTTGTAGCAAATGCATTGACTATATTCATTTAAAAACATTATTATAGATATAAAAGCTTTCCACCATTACAACTACTACTGAACAACATCTATTCATAATTTTAAAAAGCTCAGTGTTTTACATTGTCACACACATTTCTCCCTGGGCAAAAGCAGACGATGGAAAAGCTCTCTCTTCATCAAGTGCAGCCACAAGGTTTATTCTATTGCCGTCCTTGTGCACTTTCCATGCACCCACACTTCAACGTGCATTAATACCTCCCACATGCGATAATGGAATATTCGCTTTCATAAAGGTTTTTGTTATCAACCAAAAGATGGCACACGGTCAGCACAAGATTTTATTACATAATTTATCTTGTGAATAACTTTGTTCTCCTGAATTGATTTTTTGTGTGTGTTGAATTCGGTAAGATGTATCAAAATGTCAATCTGTTAATATTGAAGAAAATTACAAATGATACAGAGGTTTGGGATCATGTCTCATCTCATGTTTCATTGTTTTTACACAAGATAAACTATACAATCATAATTTTCACAGCATTTTCATGGGTTCATACCCTGGCAAAATTCAGAATCTCCCCTTTGCATCTACCTAGTTGCCAATATATTTGTTTGTCCACTCAATGTTTTGGTTACCTGAATATTGAGGCAATCACTAGCTTTGCATACTGGTGTGATTCTTGAGCATGAAAGTCCTTTTTGTGTTGAGGGTCTTTTGATGTGGCTGCCATCCACCAATATCAGTTCTAGTGTCTTATTCAGTATTCCAATTAGTATTGTCCATGTTCCATGTCAAGAAGTTGATAGCGGCACGGTGGCTGAGTGGATAGCACTCTCGCCTCTCAGCAAGAAGGTCCTGGGTTCGAATCCCGATCGGACCAGGGCCTTTCTGAGTGGAGTTTGCATGTTCTCCCCGTGTCTGCGTAGGTTTCCTCCGGGTACTCCGGTTTCCCCTACCACTAAAACTATGTCCAATAGTTCTAGCATGCGCTTCCTGTACTGGCCCCTCCCATCTCTGTGTGGAATGAGAGACAATTGCCCAAAATTAACAATTGTAAACCGCTTTGAGACTCAGATCTGCAGTGAAAAGGCGGTATATAAATAAAAACTTACTTACTTACTTACTATAGTATTGCCCATTTCTCATTTGTGTCCTGCTATCGGTGTCTTAGGGCACGGTCACATAGGTTTTTACAAACTAACTAACTCTGACAGTGAGGGTCCGAACAGAAGGGAGTTCTACCTTGTTGGAAACGCTTCTCTTTG